TCTCTGTACCTGAGTGGGGGGTTCTGAGCTTGCGGCAGGAATCGTGAAGAGATGCTCCGAGACTCTGTCCTCTCTGGCACCTGGACTGGGGCCCCTGCCAAGGTCACACAAATCATGAATTCAGGCAGAAGCCAAGCCCTTGTGGCAGATTCTGTCTCCCCTAGCAGAGAGCCCCAAGGTGCTATCTGCCCTAGGACCCTCCCTCTCAGGTAGACAAGGAGGGGAAAGGGAAGACTGCAGTGACCAAATGCCGGCCTTCTGACCACACCTGGAGCAGCCCCATGGGCCAGGGTCTCAAAGTGCTGTTTCAGAAACTGTTCCTGGTCTGGAGTATGGGGGCTGCCATCCTGCAGTCCATAAGGGCCAGTGCCTCCCTCCTCTTCCTCCTCCTCTTCATCGCCCTCGGCTGGTTCTTCAAGGTCTGAGGAGATGCCATCCACACTCAGGGGCTCTGTGCTCTCAGAGTCTGGATGTGGGGAGGGGAGAGAGGCATTGTGCTACACCCGCCTGTCGCCAGAGCCTCCCCCACCTCAGGCCATGGGCCTTCCTTCACCTTCATTGGGGTGCTCAGGGCTGGAAAGGCGGCTGCTGCTGTAATCCACAGAGCAGGCACTGTCAGGACTGTGCTTCTCCAAGCCCTTGCTGGCTGGGTACACTCTTCCCAGGATTCCTCGGGCCGGAGCCTGTACCTGGAACTCACTGACAGGAAGGCCAGCCAGGGAAAGACAGGAAATCAGCAGAGGTGAGCAGCAACCCCACTGGGCTCCTGCCTCTGGGCAGGACCAGGGATACAGTGGTGGTGAGCAAGGCCCCACTATGCTGGGGCCAGCCCTCCCCCAGCTGAAAAACACTCGGAAGGAAACGAACACTGGGGACTGCATAGCCCAGGAGGCTTAGCCAGGGCAGGTCCTTGCCTGGTGTCCATGGTGGGGCTGTCACTCGGCTCTGGGTAGACAATGCCATCTTCAACAGGTGCAGGCTCCAGGTCTTGGGCAAAGACCCCTTCCTCTTGTGACAACAATCGGATTATGTGGGGGCAGGAACAGGGCTGGGAAGCCTGAGGCCGAGGGGGCTTTTCCTTCTGGGAACACACAAAGGACATTACTGGGACTGCTGATGTGAGAAGAGGCCTTGGAGAAGAGGTGAGGGTAGGCAAGAATGTGGTGTGCGCCAGCAAGCCAGGCTGGGCTCCAGCTGACGTCATGAGCTTCTGGGAGAACTCTATTAGCCCTGTGCACTGCCAACCTCCTACCACCACTTAATACCAAGAGTCCTTCAAGGACCCAGCCCAGTGGCAATTGCCACCCCCTACCCCAACCCCTTTTCTGCCTACCCTCCCCCCAATATCACGCAGCCCAGCCAGCCCACCCCAGCTTTGCAGGTCAGGTTACCCAGGTGCCACGGAGACAGGCAGAGCTGCACCAGCGCTCAGGTCCCAGCTGTTGGCATGGACTGGCTAAGTAAGGCTCCTTGGAGACCCCTGTAGAGCTGGGAGAGAGCTTGCTCACCTGGCTGGTGCGTGAGGGCTCAGGGGCCTGCTGACCAGATAGGGTCGTGGCCAACAAGTCGTGGTTGGGGCCCCGAGGGTTCGGGGCCAGCGTCTCCAGCTGCCGCAGGTCCAGCATGGAGCGCACACTCAGCTCTACCCCTGGCTGAGCCCAGCGCCCCCTTCTTCTGGGCCCTGGGTTGGCTGCAGGAGCTGGGCCTAGGAACTCCGTCTCCTGTGCCTGGTGAGAGAGGAAAACAGAAACTATCACACAATAAAAAAAAAACACGTTTCACTTACTGCATGCCAGTCACTTTATACGCACTAGCACGTTTCTCCTCAGGCCAGCCTTATGAAGCGGGTACTACAATTACCCCACTTTCACATCTGAGGAAACTGAGGCACAGGGGGCTTCAGTAGCCAGACAGGAAATGCAGACAGGAAATGGCCTGCAGATCTGTCTGGCTTGAGTTTATGACCTCAGTCTCACTCTCCATCTTCTCTCAGGGACTTCTAGTCTCAACCTTCACCTGTGTTAGGGACACCAAAGAGCTAAAGGTCTCTAGAAGTCCCCTACTCTTAGGACAGCCCCAAGAGAGCCCCAAAGAACCAAGAACAAACCAGCAGCCCAGGCTTGAGATGCCTGACCGCCTGACCTGGTCAGAATATACCAGAGAGACCACACCACCACTGCTCCGTGAAACTGCTACTAATGCCCGTGCTTGAGATACCAGCCAGAACAGGGGAGGTGTGGGCTGCTTTGGAGCCTGCTCTGCAGCCCCTATGAAGGAATTCCTAGTTCCTCAGTCACTGGTCCTCTTAGGGCCTGTCCCCTCTGCCTGTTCTGAAAGCTGAGATTACCTCCTAACTGAGTCTCAGAACTACAATGTCTCTGGATTTCTGCTCTTTGGACCCTTGACTTTCCTGAACTTTAATTCTTTTTTGTTTTTAATTTTGCCAGAAGGCACATAAGCCCACCAGAGAGAAACAAAGACAGGGAGTAGGTGAGGGAGAAAGTATCCCCCCAAGGGGAATGGTCAAGCAGTAATCCCTTCTCCTCCATTTCTCCAACCTGTTGGGATTTGGGACACACACATATATGTACCCGGCATGTTTCCCATGCCTCTGGAGCTAGGACTTGAACCACAGGGTCAGTCACGTGGGATCCAGCTGCCTTAACTACCAGGCCACAGAGCTGGCCCCCTGAACTTCAATTCTAGCCAGTTTGCTTCAAGGTCCCTCTTCTATCCCCATCTCAAGTTGTTCTTTGATAATAATTACTCCCAGGTCCCAAGCAGCCGAACCAAGGGAGCACCTCCCTGGTGATGATGAAGCCTGGCAGTCTATTTCATCTGGTCCACAGGAAGGAAACAGCTGAGTGTCTCTCATCCCTAACCTATGTCCAGCCCAGCTGTCTCAACTCCCCCACCCCCACCCCCACTGAGGCCTCCCTTGGACACAGGAGTGGAGCATGTAGGCAGACCCATGCTCACCAGGCCCAGAGCCCTGCTTTCCCCTCCCTTTATCTCCTTACCTCCTGTAATCTTGGAAAGACATGTGTGTGTGTGTGTGTGTGTGTGTGCATGCTAGAGGGCACGTACACTCATCAGAGAGAAGGAGAGGAGAAAGCACCTGCCATGGGGAATGGCCATGCCACAATCCCTTCTCCACCATCTCTTCTTCCTTTGGGGATTTTGGGCACATACACACATGCCCAGTGTGTTTCTCAGGTTCGGGACTTGAACTTGGAGGTTGGTCATATGAGATCTGGTTGCCTAACCACCAGGCCACAGAGTTGGCCCAAAAGGATATTTTAACCATTGTGACTTACCCGACTCATCTCCCAGTGGGACAGGCTCCGGGGCAAAGCTGGGCTGGGGACTGAGGCTAGAGAGAAACGAGTCATCAGAGGGCATGTCTCCTGCCCACGCACCAGCCCTGGCACATCAGCTCATACCCTGTGTGGCCAGAGGATGCCCTGGTTCCCTCAGCTCACACTGTTCTCACTCCACACTCCCCTAAAGGGCATATCCAGTCGCTATACCAACTGGTGCCTGTCGGCCCCACAGCAGATGCAACACACCTGGCTCCTTCTTGGTACTCTTGGCAAGGATGGGCAGAGCTGGAAGTTCTTCTTCTTCGGTACCTTCGTCTTCCCCTTCCTTGTCACTGTCAGATGAGAGAGCTGGTACAGGAGACAGCTTCGATGGGGCCTGGTGCCTGAGTCCAAGACAAGGAAGGTCACAGGGAGAAGAAATGTCCCCCGTGACACTGGGGGAAGAGATCTACATCAGGGTCTTTGTGAGAAGCAAAGTACTGGGAGACAGAGCTGCTGAGTGGCAGGTCCAGCATGGAGGAGAAGCAGTGAGATCACGGTAGGCCGCCCGACACTTGCCCACCATTTCCCCACACTGTGCTCACCGGTTGGGTCCAGAAGCCCTTTGGGGAGAGGATGGTCCTTGCTGCTTGCCCCCTCGCTGACGCTGGCGTAGCTCCGCCAGACGCTGCCTCATGCTGATGGTCATCTCGGAACTCAGACGCCATACAAATATGCAGCTGGGGTAGAGCCACAGAGCAGATGAGGGAGCAGCAGGGTGGGCTGACTGTCAACACCATCGGCTCTCCCTCTCCCTGGGCCGGCAAGATGATGAGAGCCACCCTCCACTGCCAGGGCAGGCCCAGCCCAGACATGACCCTGTTCGGCCCCAATTTCTAAAGACACCACTGAGAAGAAGAGACGGGAATGGGCGTAGAGGAAGAAGGGTGTTGTAACACAGAGGAAGAAGCTGGCTTGTGCTCACCTGTCCCCTGACACAGAGATGAGATGTTTGCAGTCATTACTAAATTTCATGCCAGTGACAATCTCTGTGGAGAACAAAGAATATGGTCAATGAGTCACTCTCAAGCCACTCCCTATCAAGGTCCCATCTGTCCCAGCAATGGGGGCTGGTTGGAGGAGAAGGGCAGGTAGGTCTGCTGAGTCCCAAGAAACTCGGAGAAGAAAGAGTAAGATCCATGGGTATAGCGCTGGGTGACACTCACCTGAGTGGCCAAACATGGTGGCCACGCACTCGCCTGAGGAGAAGTCAAAAATGGAGAGGTTCTTGTCGGAGCAGCTGGTGGCAATATAGATTCCTGAGGGGTCTGTCTGCACCTGAGGAATGGGACATACAGCTGGGAGAACATGGGAAGTGCCAGTCTCTCTCTACATACCGATTGTCCCCTAGTCCCTGGGTCTGGAGCCCAGCCTACTGGGCCCTTACCTTAATGAGAGTGCCGTCCTCACCCTGTGACCCTTTAAACAGCTTCTTCTGTTTCCCACTGCTGATGTTAAAGATCCTGTAAAGAAACACGCTCTCACTCACCTGAGGAGGAGGCAGAGCTCTAGCACATCTGAACAGTGCACGTGCCAGATTCACTCCCAGTCTGTTCTCTCTGGGACCCACCACCCAACACCAAAGATGCTACCTCCTCTTGGTGAGGCAAAGTACTCATTCCATAGACTCAAGGGGGGACAAAAAGATATGGGAACTTAGCTAGAGAGCACTGAGCCCAGGGCATAAAGCAGTGGGGTCAGACAGTCTGAGGCGGGGCTGCCCACCGAATGTTACGGTCCTGGCAGCCAATGGCTGTGTACTTCCAGCTGGGCTCCACGTCCATGTCATAGAGGGTCGTCTTCCGTACCACGTGGTGTGTTCGTGTAAACTGGACTCCATCTCCAGACTGCAGGGGTGGAACACATGGGCAGACCCACACCCATGTCTCACCAGACCTAGGGAACCCTGCCTTTGCCCCCTCCTTCACCTCCGTAATGTCAGGCAGGAGGTTCCCCTCTCAGGGAAGGCCATCCTCTCACCTTCTGTGCAGTGCGGAAGTAGATGCTCTTGTCTGCTCCACAGCTGATCATGCGGACTTGCCCATCACTGGCTGTAGAGGAGGGGCTCTAGCTGTTCCCTGTTTTCAGCACACAGGGCACGCTTTCCTGTGCTCTCCCTCAGCATTTTCTGCCTATGGCACTACTCTGTGTACTTCACTGGCTATGTCTGAGACAACCAGTGACATCTGAATGCTTCCCTCTACACCTGGGCTTTCCTTCTCCCCATACCCAGCCCAGTCTGGCTGGCTCAGAATCCCTTGAGCTCAGTGTACGTTGCACTGTCATCCCGCCCACCAGCACTTCCCCACGATTGGCAGACCATTTCCATGCTAGGAGTGGTGGCACGATGTGCCACAGTAGCCCTGCCCTACCTGCAAACTTGACGGCAGTGATGGATGAGGAGTGCTCATCCAACGTCTGCTGTAGGCTGTACTCCCGTCCAGCGTCCAGCACGTGAATCAGCCGGTCCCGGCTCGCTGAGGCTAACAGCTTCAGACCTGGGATTGAAAGAATTCCCTCAGCTACAAGTGCTCTGATCTGGGCCCAGCAAAGAGCCCCAAGGGATATGAGCCCCATAACCCTAAGCCATGGGAACCATGGAAGGGATGGAGCTGTTTTCTAACCCCACAGTCACCAAATGATCCAAAGGATTGTCAGCCCTGCACCCAAGTGCCAGGCAGAAGTAAGTGGCACAGCAGGACTGAAGGAGCCACTGCAATCCTGAGACACAGGACGTCCTCCTTACCTGTGTCTGGCTTAGAGTACTCCAGGCACAGAATCTCTGAGTCGTGGGCCTCCACTTTCAGCATCTCACTGAGGGACTGCAGCTCATGTACTCTGTAAAGATGCAGTGAGAAGGGAAGAGGTCACTGCTGGGCAGCAGGAGGAGGGACTCATTCCCCTTCTTCTGCTTTTTATTATTATTATTATTATTTAATTTTCAGGTTTAAAGAAAAAAATACAAAAAGAGTACATAATTTCCATATTTCCCCCATCCAGTTCTCTCTGGTGCTAACATCTTAATTCATGATAGTATGGCAATGAGAACCAGGAAATCTACACTGGTACAGTACTGTTAATTAAAGACCTTAGCTGAATTTCATGTTTTTCGGTATGTCCTTTCACTTGATCCAGGATGCTCGTTGCATTTAGTTGTCATTTCTCCTTAGTCTCCTTTAGTAATAGGTCTTCGGTCTTTCCTTACCTTTCATTGCCCTTGACACTTTTGAAGGGTATTGATCAGTGACTCTGTCACACATGTATCGATTTGACTGTGCCCAATTTTTTTTCATAATTGGAGAGTTTATGCATTTTTGGCAGGAATACCACAGAAACAGCGTCACCTCCCTCTTATCATGTTGTATTATGTATGGACTTCATGATGTTGCTATGAGGACGTGAACCATGATCACTTAGTAAAGATGGTTTCTGCTCAGTTTCTTCATGGTAAAGTTATTCTTTCCCTTCTGGATAATAAAGCTCTTATAACATTTTGGAACCATACCCTCCTAAAGCTCTGTCCTGGGGATCTAACTCCCTTAGCCTGCACCAGGGAAGCAGCCAGTACCCACCCCGGGCCTGGCATTACCTAAGTGTGCCCACACGGTCTCCTGAAGCTAGATGCTGTCCATTGGGACTGATGCACACAGAGCGGATGCCCACGCGGGGGTCCATCAGGGACCCATCAGCCTTGTCACCTCCGGGCAGCTCAGTGTCCAGCAGAGTCTGGGTATTCCCATCCACATAGATGATTTTAATGAGGTCCTGGTGAAACAGGGGGGTGGGGAGATAAGGCAGTCCAGCTGTGAGGGGAAATGAATATTGGGCACGAGAAAACCCACAGCTCAGCCCACCCAGACAAGAGCTGGAAGGTCTTAGGGACCCAGTTCCTGGGAATGAGGTATGAAGGCTGTGGGACTGGGGGGTGCCAAGTGTGGAGCGGGGGGCCCAGGGCCTCAGGGCTCACGTTGCTGAGGATGTTGCGATGCAGGGTAGAGCCATGCACCCCGGAGCTCTCTGTGTTCCACAGGCGGATGGTGTTGTCTGAGGAACAGGTAATAAAGGAACTGGGGGGTAGGCAGGCTTGGTTACTGTCCTTCACCTCGGGGTAGACCTGAAGGGGTAGAGGGAACACTCAGACCTCCAGTTAGGGAGCAGTCCCTTATATGCCCAGGGAGATGGAAGGGAAGGGAATGAGATTCCAGAAAGAATGCTGGCCAAGACCTAGCAGTGCCTGTCACGTAGTAAGCAAGCCACAACTGTCACATGTTCTCTGTAATAACTAACGAGAAGCACATTAACCAAGCACCTACCACGTACCATTTACATACACCTACCATGTATGTCTCCCACTTACTTTATTCTATTTTATTCTTAGAATAATTAGATGAATTGGATACATTATTTTACAGTTAAGGAAACTGAGGCTCAGTGGAGTTCAGTAACTTGTCCAAGATCGCCAAGCCCAGGAAGAGGCAAAACTGAAGATGGACAGGGACACACTGGAGCCTGAGATGGATTAGCACTAAAATCCAAGCTCACGCCCCGGGATCCATCAGAGGGAAGCCGCTGGAGAAACAGGAAGGCAGCAGGAACAGAAGGTTATAATTGGGGATCCCCACTTTCTCTCCTCACAATGGTATCCCCAGCAAACCTGGTCAGTCTCCAGTCAGCCAGCCAGCCCACGTACCTCCACACTCCAGACGCAGGAGGAGTGATAGAGCGCCGAGTACACCTTGCCCACTTTCTTGGGGTCCCTCACGTCCCAAACATAAATGCTGTGGTCGTTGTACACACAAGACAGCCACTGATTGGTAGGATCAAAGGTCAAGGCAATGGTGTCTGGATACCTGGCATTGGCTGCTCCAGAGAAGAGACGACTGTAAGGAGACGACAGGGCCAACTGTGAGACCAAAAGGAGTGAAACGAGAAGCCATCCACGAAGGAGGGAGCAAGCACAGGAGCTCGCTCCAGACCTACGTGTTTGGAAGTCGTGCTTGAGAAAGAAAAAAGTAGCCTCTGAGTCGGCAGAGGGAGGTAACCCAGCACTAGCAACTGGGCCATGGCATTCTGATGCACACACACTTTCACAGAACACTAAGGTCGGATGGGGTGGTGGGGTGAGGTAAAACAAAAATAAGATTGCTCATAATCATATCTGTACACAGATAAAAATGAGACCACCAAATAAACCACAAAAATGGCGGCACGTCGTCCTTTCCACCTAACATGATCGATGGATGCTGCTTTACCAATTATGGCTTTAGTCCTAAACCTTTCCTTGCCCAGGTTGGATAAAAACTGTTATGATGTCCAGTGGCACAACTGCCCCCTTCCTGACAGCTTCTAACCAGAGCAAACGTTCCATCCCTGGAACTGTTCCTAAAACCATCTAACGCAAGCCCAAACCCGATGGTAAGCCCCTCCTGCACCCACTTGTGGAGACACTCCATGGCTCTCCATTATGTGTGGTCTCCTTGGTTGCAACAAGCACCAACACACTCAAATCTGTCTACAGAGGCGCTCCTGGTGATCTTCGGTTCATCAACCCACTCTTCACTATGTTCTCCAAAGCATTACCAAGGAAGGCTGGGCGCAGGGTGAGGCTCTGGATACAGGCCGGGCCCACGTAGCTTACCTGGCCTCAGTGACACTGGCAATGTCTGTTCCCAGAGCGTGCGGTCGGGGAAGGGTGCTGAGGAAGTGCAGGTTAGAAGGGTTGAAAAGGCGCACAGTGCCATCAGCGCAGCCACAGAAGATGTAGTCCTGGCTCACAGAGATGCAGTGGGCCACTGTGGTCTATGGCAGGGAGACTCAGGTCAGTCATGGCCACCTGCCCACTCAGTCCTTTCTCTTCCTCCCCACCACCTCACCAACAGTCACCTACTGAGAGGGCAGATGGCCGAGACGAGCGAGAGAGAATTAGCTCAGCTGCTCTGGCCTGAGCCCCTCAGCTGTCATCTAGAGATGCCCCTCCCTCCAGCAGCAGGTGGCCAGAGGGTCCCCAGCCCTGTGCATTCAGGGGATAGTAATCATGGACACTTCTAAGGCACCAGAGGTTTTGGCAGAGGGTAAAGTAGGAAAAGCCAAGCAGAGGAAGAAATAGCATGAGAAAGGAAGGACCATATAGGCAGCACTTACTGTGAAGCTGTCTGTGTTCTGAGCAGAAGAGGAAAGCAGGGGGAGAGAGAGACAGAGAGAGAGAGAGAGAGAGAGCAGAGAGGAGGCAGTTATCCAGATCACCAGAGGCTGGAACTGGACCAAGCTCTAGTACCCCCAAGCTTCTTTCTGGGGTCTCCCCTGCATGTGTGAGGGGCAAATCCCAGATCTGGAGCCCCAAGTACTAGTTCTCCCCAGACCTGAGATGTGGGCAGTCCCTACCTGCTGGGGCAGAGGTACTTACTCTCAGCTCCACCCACTTGTCCAAAAGCCTCCGATCACTGAACTCGCACAGCAGCCCTGAGGACGTGATGCAGAAGGTGCTGTCTGCCTTCTTCCCTCGGCCACAGGCCACATCCGTGAACAGGTTGTTCCGTAGCTCCCCCAGCAGCCCTGAGCGGCCCAGCAGGGGCACGGTGGCATTCACCTTTAGAGACATACTGCTGTTATCCATCCACCCACCCCAGAGCCTGTCCCTGGAAACAGGCCCTAGAAAGAAAGGGAGGTGGGAGTGGCAAGCCACCCTTGCTCTTCGAGACTACCAGCCCACATAGCATCTGTTCCATCCAACACTTTGTGTGACTACAGAGCCAGCAAAAGGAAGCCCACACAGAACACAGCCTCCTGGGCTGGGCTAAGAAGGCCTTGGCCCTGGTGGCTACTGCTAGCCTCAGCACCTCACCTTTGAGGTCTTGCTGTCATCAAGATACCAGAATTTGATGTGCCGGTTGCCTGCAGTGACAAAGTAGCTGCAATCTTCAGAGAAAGACACTGCTGTCACTCGACTGGATACCTTGTTGGATGCCACCACAATGTTTTTCTGAAGAGAAAGCCAAAGGTAGAATCATGGCTCTGCCTCTTAGGGTTAGGAAGAAAAGTGGCTCAGAAAGTGCAGAATTAGAAAGAATTCATACTTGAGGCCCAGCCATGGTGACAGAGGCAGTAGGGTGTCACTGAGCAATACTGAAGCCAAGTGGGAAGCCCAGGTTTGAATCCCAGGGCAATCTGAAAAAGTATGTCTGTGATCCTGGCTGGCTGGCGGCCATGCCAGACAAGACCCTGTCAAGGGGATCTGTGTCTATTTGTCTCTCTGTGTCTTTTTTATGAAAGAAGTAGACTAAAAATAAAGAAGAAAGAAGTAATTCATAAAAATGTTTTACAATGTTTAAAAATGTTTCTTTCTAGGACTCTTTAGTCAGAAATAAAGTGGTCAGGGGACGCTCTCATTCTACGAGCTGACAAGCAAGATTCGTGTCCTCTGGAGAGACTTGAAGGCATAAAGCTAGCCCTTCCGACCAGCACCCTGGGCTGCACAGTTGCTTTTTTCTGCTTCAAGTAATTTTCTGGAATGTGACTGAGATCAGCAGGGTGGAATGAAGCAGCTCAGGTGGGCACTTCCTGACTCCCCAGCTGCCATCTGGACCCCCACAAGGTTGCAGGCCACCCCATCCAGTCCACTCACCTTCCAGGCCCAAACGTTGACAATCATGTCATGCTGGTAGCCCACAGAGACAATGTACTTGGCACTAGGGGAGAAGGCCACACAAGCCACACCATACTTATGCTCTTGCAGTTCTGCCACCTGGCTGTGCTCTGCCACGTCCCACACCCGCACGGCAGGCATGTGCCCACTCTGCAGGGAAGCAAGAGCAGTTAGTGAGGACCACCAGCACACGGCCTCCCCTAGCGTTTCAGAGTGGTGGCCCTTGCCTCCTCAGCTACAGGGTGTGGTTTCTGTCATGACGCTTTGGCCAAAGACTAGGAGCAGGACAAGCAAGGTAGAGAGGAAACGAGACAACTGTCCAAGAACAGCGATGATTATTAGGGAGAAATGGCCCCAGACGTTACTGAGTACCTCTGGGTGGGGGTCTGTACCTCTGCATTTGCCCACCACTCCTTGACTGACTCTCATGGGCACCCAGGGTAGAAACACTACCATCCTATTTCTGCCCCTGCTGCCTCCCTATAGGAGACTGTGGAAGGGCAGGGGTGTTTCACATGTCCCCAGCAGGGGGCGTCTGTGGATAAGGAATATTTTACGGAGGTTTTTTTTTTTTTTTTTTTTTTCCAAAGCCATTCCCCCAACCAGTGGTATCTGCATTACCTAGGAACTCATTAGAAGTGCAAATTGGGGGCCCAATCCAAGACCTAAAAAATCAGACACGCTGGGTGCAGGCCCAGCAATGAGCATTTCCAAGTGTCCTCCAGCTGACTCTGACGCACACCAAAGCTTCAAACACAGCAAAAAGGACTTGTCATCTGTCCGGGAAGCCAAAGGGACAACAGCCCTAACTTGGCCTAGGATTAGCTCTTTGCTGAGGCCAGGCCACCCACCTGTCTACAGCACTGTGGCCCCTTTCTCACTCACCTCTCCGGTGACCAAGTACTTGCCATCCGGGGAGAAGGCAAGGGCAGTGATGGTTTTTCTGCAAGAGATGGGTAGGCAGGCTCAGAGGGGTGGCGGAGGCAGCCTGTCCCACCCTGTTCCGCCCTATTCCCCTGTCCTCTTCGTTGTTGTTGTTGTCCCCCCCACCCCCTCCCGCCTCGCAAAAGGCAAATTCAGCAGAGGGCAAGGAATGTGGAGCACTCCCTCTCTGGCCCCAGGGCCCAACCAAACCCCAGCTCCCAGAGTCATAAAGACCTGGACAGTGCCCTGGTCACCACCCCAGGAGGATGAGGTACTCCTCCGCCCTATTCCCCTGTCCTCTTCGTTGTTGTTGTTGTCCCCCCCACCCCCTCCAGCCTCGCAAAAGGCAAATTCAGCAGAGGGCAAGGAATGTGGAGCACTCCCTCTCTGGCCCCAGGGCCCAACCAAACCCCAGCTCCCAGAGTCATAAAGACCTGGACAGTGCCCTGGTCACCACCCCAGGAGGATGAGGTACTCCCAGAGGGCCCAGGCCATTTACCTGGAACTATTGAGGATGTGGTGCTGTTTGTGCTTCCGGGGGTTGAACAACACAACCACACACCTGGGGGATGAATGAGACAACAGGCTTAGCACCCAATTTTAGCTCCCCTGACTCCTTAGCCACGTGGGACTCCAGGCACCCGGCAGAGGGAGCTGGGTGGGTAAGCCCAAAAGGGCTCTACTGCTTTCCCTTGACGACCTGGTCTGGCTTCCTCTCCCCACCCTGAAGGACCTCTCTGCAGCCCCACGAGGGTGAAAGGGGCTCCTGGAAGCCTATCCCAGCAGCTCCCTCAGCACCAGTCACATTTCTGGTCATACCCACAAAAAAAAAGCAGGGACAGGAGCCCTCCCACAGCCCTTGCACACACCCGAGGAAAGGGTATCAGAGGGAAGAACAAATGGGATTTGGGCAAAGCAGGCCTCAGGGCTCCAGCCCCTACGTAGGCTTGGGGCCATATGTGTACGCTCTGAGGAGGGTAAGGCCATTCACCTGTGCACACATGTGTACTGGGCAGAAGCCAGCTCCTACACCCTCCACACGCTGGATAAGGAAGGGGTGGGGTGGGAGGCCACACAGGGGATCAGTACTGCAGGGAGGCTGGGAGAGTGGGGAGGGCAGAGGATGCTTGAGAGACTTGGGAGCACCACAGGGCTCCCCCTGGGCCCAGCCCCAGTAAGCCTAAGAAAGCCCGCCCCCCCCCACACACACACACACAGCCAGGAGAAGATAATCAGGGACTCCGCCTGCCTCACAGAGAAGGGTGGGGGCAACCTCTCCAGCCAGGTGGCAAGACTGCTGGAAGGGATCAGGTCCAAACTAACTTTCCAGAGGCAGCTCCAGAGAGGGAAGCCAGGAGGTAGGAGTCGGGGGCAAGGAGCTGGAAGACAGTGGCCAGCCAGTGTTCTATTATAGTCAGGCTCCTTGGCTGCCAGGTCTTGGCCTGCTGCCCCTCTGCCTCACCCTATCATTAGCACTGGAACTAGCTGACAAGAGCAAGCCTGGATGCGCTATAGCAGAAAGGGGGCGGAGAGAATGAGCAGCAGCTACGTCCCCCACACCTACCCTTCTTCAGAGAGAGCCCGACTGCTGACTGGGAACTTGAAGGGGGCACAAGCTGCCAGTGAGTGCTTCTTTTTTTTTTTTTTTTTTTT